AGAGAGACAGAGCATGAACGGGAGGTAGAGAGAGTAGGAGACACAGAATCAGAAACAGGCTCCAGGCTCTGAGCTATCAGCCCAGAGCCCCACGCTGGGCTCGAATCTCACGAAGCCGTGAGATCGCGGACTCCGGCTGGAAGTCGGACGCTTAACCGACTGCGCCACCCAGGCTTCACCTGCACTCTCTGTTTACGCTATGGTGTAATTTACCAAGGCCCTCAAGATTGCATCACTCGCCCCCCCCCCCAACATACACCTCACCATGTACAGAAGATCCCAGAACTGTGGAGGAAGAAAAGGACCAGGGATGAGAAGTGTATGGAAAGTGATCCTTTCCCCAGTGGGATCCAACTATTTCCCTTGCCAATCCAACACACTGAGACCAAGTCGTGAAATGTACCATTTTTGTTTTAACCAATATGTTTATCCTGACACTGTTCTCAGCCAAGGATCCTTTGGAGCAGGTTTCTCAGTGTAGTGTGAACATGTTGTGGGTTGGTATCCAGAATTTAAAAAAACAACAAAGGATAAGATTGAATGAGAATACTGGAAAATATCAGGTGGCAATATTTTTAGAAATTTTTGTTCTAAGTATGTGTGTATGTTCCATATTTCAATATAAACATACTTTCTTTTTTTTAATTTAAAAATCCTTGTTAATGCTTGTTTATTTTGAGGGGAGAGAGAGAGAGAGAGAGAGAGAGAGACAGAGCACAAGTTGCAAGGTGAGAGGAGAGGGAGACACAGACTCAGAAACAGGCTCCAGGTTCTGAGCTGTCAGTACAGAGTCTCGTGTGGGGGCTCAAACCCACAAACAGTGCACTCATGACCTGAGCCAGTTGGGATACTTAACTGACGAGCCACCCAGGTGCCCCAAATATAAACATATTTTTTTTTTTTAATTTTAAAATGTTTTATTATTTATTTTAGACACAGACAGAACAGGGCAGGGGCGGAGAGAGAGGGAGACATAGAACTGCCAGCTCCAGTCTCTGAGCTGTCAGCAAAGCACAGAGCCCAGACGGGGCTCGAACTCACGGACCATGAGATCATGACTCAGCTGGAAGCTGGGATGCTTAACCCACTGAGCCACCCAGGCGCCCCCCCCCCCAAACATATTCTTAGTACAGGCAGACCAAAAGTTTGAAAATACTCAGAGTGTTGTTGCAGTAACATTTTTGTTTTAATAGATATTTTTTAGAGAAGTTTCAGATTCATCACAGTTGAGTGAAGGTACAGGGTATGCATCCTTAGAGGTGGGATTTTATTTCAGGAGCATATATCATTCCACTATTCTTTTTTTTTTTTTTCCCCTCCTTCATTCCTGGGCTCTGGTGACATGGGTTGCATTAGCCTAACTAGCCTGAGACTATGGGAGTCTACATGGCCAGCCGCCCGGAGGGCTGGGCGATTACGTGGCACGTCTGCCTTGACAGAGAGGAATGTGGGAAGAGAGACCAGGAAGCGGCCAGTGCAGGCAGACTGAAGCGTACATGCTGGGAGCAGGGAACCCGTGGAAAGTTGATGCAGGAGTCCAGCCAGTAGGGCCTGGACTAGTGTGGAAACACCAATAGGACTGAAAGGACTCAAAGACCCAGCAGCCAGTTCGGCCAGATCTTGGGCTCACACCATAGCAGTCTCCAGGAGAGAGCATGTATACGCTGTGTGTTTGACCATACGGAAGAATAGTGCGTGGTTGTGGCCAGCAGGAATACACTCAAAGCCACGTCCCTATCTGATAACCCTAAGGGGTTTAAAAATTATTTGAGAAAAGGATTCAAGAAGTTATCTTCGTATTGTCTGCAAAGTTAATAAAGAGTCTTGAAAGAAGAATGGTTCTCACATTAGATCTTTCTGTAAACATTACGAAATCCTTTAGTCTGGCTGGCCCATTATCAAGCACGAACCCGACCAGGGTCACAGTCTGGCCTATGGGGCGTGGAGCCTATTTAAAAAAAAAAGTCCGTCATTTTAGAAAGGTAAAATCAGTAAAATGATGGGATATGGATATAGAAGCCACACAGACCAAGAAGGACAAAAGGAGCCTTGAAGAAGAGGCTCATCAGGCAAGAATTTTTTAAATTTTTTAATGTTTATTTTCGATGAGACAGAGCATGAGCCGGGAGGCAGAGAGAGAGGAGACACGAATCCAAAGCAGGTTTCAGGCCTCGAAAGGTCAGCACAGGACACGGCCTCGAACCTCACAGACCGCAGACTGGAGCCGGGTCGGAAGCTCAACTCCACTGAGCCACCCAGGCTGGGCAAGAATTTGATGTGAGATAGAGGAAGAGGCCACACGGTCTGTGGATGAGGTACCGTGAACAGCATTCTTTGGAAGAGGCACGGTTTAAAATGATGAATGTCATACACCAAAATAAGTTGAAATAGATGGAAAATAAAATAGGAACATGAATAATAAGGAAGGAAACGGGTGACTGTTTGACTCAATGTCTGGGGCGGGGAAGGTTTTATCAGTATAAAGCCATGGAGGGTGGGGTCGGGTGGCGCAGTCGGTTGTTATCCGACTTCAGCCAGGCCACACCCTGCTGGGTCCTGTGAGTTTCACGAGTTCTGCTTGGTCAGGCTGATGGCTCAGAGCCTTGAGCCTGTTTCCATTCTCTGTCTCCCCTCTGCCCCTGCCCCTGCTCATGCCTGGTCTCCTGTCCCAAATAAACGCTGAAAAAAAAAAATTAAAGCCATGGAAACCATTAGGGAAAGATGAATAGACTTGAATACACTGCTTCTGGGTGGCCTGGGCCTGTTGAGCCCTGACTCCCCACTGGGTCATGGTCTCATTAGTCCACGGAACTGGAGTCTCCAAGCATGGGCTCCCCAGTGCTGTGACAGCCTCTGGAGCCTGGAGCCTGTTTCCATCTCCTGTGCCTCCCTCCTCTCTGCCCCGGGCCAGGCTTCAGTGCTCTGGTTCCTCTCAAAATAAATAAATGTTAGAAAAAAAAATAGAGTATACTTAAAATTAAGAAAACTCCCCACAAATCCCTTACACATATATACATAAATGCATACAAACAAAATTCAATGATTGGTGAAAAACATTGTTCATGAAGAAAACGACAGATAAAATGATTATCTTTCTTTCCTTTCTTTTTTCTTTCTTTCTTCTTTCTTCTTTCTTCTTTCTTTCTTTCTTCTTTCTTTCTTTCTGTATATTTTTGAGAGAGAGAGTGTGTTTGTGGGGCAGAGAGAGTCAGGGACAGAGGGATCTGAGTCGGCCCATGTTGACAGCAGAGAGCCTCACGCAGGGTCTAGCCTCACAGATCAAGTAGATTGTGATCCCGAGCTGAAGTCATGATGCTCGTTGACCGAGCCACCCAAGCTCTAAATGAGGCATTTTTCTTAACATGGTGAGAGTTAATGGTGATAATAAGAAAAAATGACTTTCTAATGAAAAGAATAAGCAGTAGCCTTTACTAAACGAGCTCTTTAAATGTGAAAAATTCATCCTTTTAATAACAAAGGTGCTAAAAATTTATAACAGTGAAAACTATGTTTTCATTGGTTTCAGCGGGGCCAATAAAAAAAAAAAAAAAATTTTTTTTTAAACATTTATTTCTGAGACAGAGATAGACAGTGAGCAGGGAAGGGGCAGAGAGAGAGGGAGACAGAACTGGTGGTGGCTTCAGGCTCTGAGCTGTCAGCACAGAGCCTGACATGGGGTCTGAATCCATGAAACCAGTGGGATCATGACCTGAGCCAAAGCCGATGCTTAACCAACTGAGCTACCCAGGCTCTCAGAGAAGGCCAATATTTTAGAAATACTCAGTACTTGCTGCCCGAACACTGTCCTTTGCTTAGCCTGTTTTTGCTCATAGTGAGGGTGGCACAGTCCTGATTGATCAGCCAGCCAGTAAGTCAGGAGCCTCAGTATCACTGTTCGCACCTGCTGACATGGTAATAACCCTGCAGGGAACCCAAAATGGCTAAATGTAAGCAAAGATGTATGAAGAAAAGCACAGCTGCTTATTTATAGTAGCA